CTGCGAAGGACGCACTCCTCTTAAAACACTGTAGACAATTTCTGTTTCTGGAAAAACTGTCAAACGAGCAAAAGATAGGGTGAAACTAGAAGCAGAAAAAATCTGGCGCGACTATGCACGACTCTTGCAGAAACTTATCGCGATTATGCACGACTCTTGCTGATACTTATCGCGAGAATGCAGGATTCTTGTAGAACCGATCTGCATAACAGGATTCGCGACGCGACTGATCACGACTCGTGCTAACTCGCGTCGCGATTTTAAAATTACGGCAAGACTCGCGCCGCGAGATTGCGATCTTCTTATATAACTAGCAAGATCTTGTCGCGAGAATCACTAAAACAAGACTTTATAGCGATCGCTAAAAGCGAGTCTTATTTCGCGAGTCCTATAGCGATCGCGTAGCGCGTTCACGCCGCGACTTTTTAGGGCGAGTCGTGGCGCGACTTTCGCGCGAAAATCGACCTGGGCAAGCAGTCACAAACTGCCAAAAACGCGTTTATACGCACAAAAAAGAAAGAAGTCGTCGCTTTTTGCTCATAATTACGATTCCCGATTAATGAGAGAAAAACGACCACTTTTTTCTTTTTTGTGCGTGTAAACGCGTTTTCGGTCTCTGACTACCTGAGTGATTCCTTCCTCCATAGCTATTTCTTCATTCATAGCTCTTTCTAACAAGCAGATTACCCGTCTCTCCTCGGGAAAATAGTGTACAGAATCATAGTGGTTAGGCGGATAAAAAAGGATCCGAGCTGGAATCGAACCGTATGTCGCTCGAATCCATAGATATTGAGAGACAAATCAAAAGACGCGAGCATTTTGGATTATACGTTTTATCTCATATCCATTCGTTTCGATTTTAAAAAGTGATGTCTAAAATTGATGGTAAAAGAACGCTTAGCCGAGCCATCTGACCTTCTCAAGCGACAAAGAGACATTCTATAAAGACGGAATGTATCTCATCACATGTAGAGACTAAAGTACGCTTTCAGTGTGTCAGAACGAGCGACGGATGTCGAGTGAGCGAGAACAGTGAAACAGACATACGTTTGATAGAGAAATAAAAAGAAACACGAGAGAAAAGACGTATTACGTCTTAGTAGGACCTACTCGTGCTTGCTTCTTTTATCTTCGAAAAACAAACTGATAATGTCCTGGACCTTCGTATTTCTATTCTGTAATAGTAGTTCTATAATGCATATCAAGACGTGCTTTATGATAGGAGAACAAAACAAGCGTGAATTTCATGTTTTACTTTTACCTTAGGAACAGAGTGTACAATTAACCATGGGAGCTCAGCCTACAACACATGTTGCTAACGGTTCTCCATATCCAATTTGGGCTAAGGTAGAAACTGAAGGACACCACGTAGTCAGTTCGATCAGCGCAGGCCCGGTCAAAATCGAGGAAAGTTCAAGTGATGCACAAAAATTCAGTGGTAAAATGTGTCCTCTGTTTTATTTTACCAGTGAAAGTAGCTGGAAGCGTTCACTCGTTTAGGATTCACAAAAATTCTTCCTGGCGATTATTTTGGTTTTCAACCAATGATTGGCTTTGGAAATGCTAACTGGTTTCATCGTTGCTCCGTCTACATCACAATTCAATATGAAGCTAATGGACAAAGGTATATTATCTGTGAGGGAACACCGAAAGCAAGCAATAGAAGCGTTATTGTGGACAAAAATTGTGCTCTACGTTCTACAAAAATGGGAACCATATGGACTGATGAAGCAGGGAAGAACCATCGGCCTTAATTCGATTTCTCTTTTTTTTAAAGAAGTATCGTCACAGTGGGCTTGAATAGATATCATTTGATTCGACTTTCACTTTATAATAACTTTTGACTTTTTCAACTTTGTAATCTAAATCAGAGTTACTGCCTTTTCTACTTTTTCAAGATTTTTCTGCTTTCTTCTTGTCCTTTTTGCTGTTTAAATAAAGCATCTGTCATCTTTTTAACACTGGATCACGTAAGTGAATTACATAGTAATTCGAAAACCACGGCTTCCAAAGTAATTCAACACAGATTAACAGTTCAGCCACGGTGGGTCTTGGGGATAAAGCGAGATTCCAGGCCGATCACCCGGTTCACAAGACAATAGAGAATTTCCTCAGACAAGTTTTACTTAAAGTTTTAATTAATAAACGAAAATAAAATGAAACTTAAAATAGTTGCTATTACAATTGTGTTTTTATTGTCAATAGAGTTTGATACACATGATAATTTTAAAGTAATTTGCTTTGTTTGTACCAAAAGTCCACTTTAACTCGGTATAGAAGTGACGACAATGCTTTGGAATGGCTATTTTTCTATAAATTGTAAAGATTGTCGTCACTTCTATACCGAATTAAAATGGACTTTTGGTACAAACAAAGCAAATTACTTTGAAATTATCACGTGTATCAAACTCTATTGACAATGCTTTACATACATTTTTATTACCATACGTCTCCATGGTAGTATGTTTTCACGATTACGGTGCACATTGACTGTAGAAGATACAGTAGACATATTCGGTAAGAGGGATGTCTCGTGACTCTCGCGTAGATTAGTTTTGTATTTATCGATCCAACAAAATGAAGAAAAAACATCACGGAATTCTCTTATGGTAACAGAGTAAGCCGGCCACGCCGATATATTTCTTCGATAATATTTTCTTTATCTTTAGAACAACAGACATGACCGATGATGACGAGATCATGCATCCATTTTGGCTCGGCTTACTATTTTTATTTATTATATTGGCTGTTCTATCTGTGCTTTATATAATACGAAAAAAAATTTGAATCTCGAATGATGTCGTTTTATCAAAATTTAACTTCATCAAAAAACGTGAGTTAATTCATATTCATTTCTCAAAAAACACAAATAGTATGAAGAAGAATACTTTGCCCGCGTTGTTTCAATGAAATGAAGAGTCCATGTTAAAAGTTTAACGAAGCTGATCATAATTCTACAGCACAATTCTTTTTTGTACTCTGACAGAGGGGAATGGCACTGATTCAGCACTACTCTTTTCACTTGTTTTTTCACTAAGAAAATGGTAAAAAATGAAGATTAGAAATGGTCTCAAGATCTAAAAGTACTGAGGAACTGATATTTTTATGAGTTTTTCATGTGTCATAAAAGTGATCTGCGTTTTTGAGTAAATTGTCTGAAAACATTAGGAACTTCTTTCAACCGTGTAGTACAGAGTCATAATCAATTTCTTTTAATACAATCTCAGTTTTATAACACACTTTTTTGGATGTGACATCGGATGAGTTGGTGTTTTTAGCTTACACAACAGAGTCTAATTTCTACACGTGTTATTCGATACGGTACCCTAGACATCGGATGTATAAAACTCATATAACTTATATCCGAGCCAAATAGGATTCTCACATGATTCTCATCAAATTTGTATATACGGTTCGACCACGATTGTGGTAATTATTCTTATGAGATTCTTGTATGATTCCTATAAATAGCTTATAGTGTACGTCTGCCTTCTCTTGTTTTAACCTCATCCATAAGCTTATGCTGGTTATGTTCATTACAAAAATTAACAATTTTTGTCTTTTTTCGACTATTTTATGTCTTCGCTGGACATAAGATGCGGAAAATTGAATATTTGTGACAAGGAAAATTAAAATCCAGAGGAATTTTAAATCTTCCTAGTGCAAATTAAAATTTTAAGTTGCCCTATAGGAAAATTTTAAACTCTCTTAAAAAATAAAGTCACACAAGTTATTTTGATTTCTACTGTAGAAGAAATTGAAATTTGCTGCTATATCCGTCGGAAATCCACAAAATAATAGAAAGAAAAACGATAGATATAACATATATCAAAAAGAGTTGTTCAGCGTTCTATTTCATTTCTATCTGTTAATATCATGGATCACATTTAAGATCAGTTAGATTTATCTAAATGTAATTTTAATGATTTACGTGTTGTCGATTCTTCTACATTATCAACAATGACGTTTATACAAGCTTGTAAATATTATGTAGTGATGGGTACGAGTGCTAATGTAGCAGAAGCATGTAAATGTAAATGTCAGTATGCAAGAAAACACTGTCCTTGCAACTTAAAAAGAGTTAAATGTGGCACAAAATGTTACCCAAGTAAAAAAAAACATTTGTTCAAACATTTAAAATATTTAATTAATTACAGAACAGCATTGACTGTTGTCCATTGACTGTTGTCCATTCAACTAAGATATAAGCAAAATACTAAGTGACCGATTTATTCTGGAACACCCATTAGATTAATTAATCAGTTAGTGCTTACAGCAAGTAAAAAAAAGTACGTCTTACAATCATTCGTTGCATCTAATGGAGTCGTTATTAGTACAAAAAAATTGGAAGTCATTATCTTCAATCGATTTGAAAGAGAATCTGATATATTTTATCAAGAAATAACTTCGGTAATTATACAAAATTTTTTGTCTGATTTAGAGAAAAGTTCTCCCGACTACAATGGATAAGTCTCCACAAATGCTATCAGTTTAACGTGGATCTTTCTCATATGAGCTTCCTCCATCACGTCCATCCATCACATCCAAATTTCGTCCTGACGGTACTCAATTTCGTACCATAACACCATTAGAAGCCATTTATTTTCATAAACGTATCGATTTAGTAACACATCCATTGACAAAAGGTAGTAATTCATTTATCTTATTGAAAAAATAAAATTTTTTAGCTTTCATGTGTCTTTCACTCAGGATTAATCAAATGGAAATGGGATCGTTATGCTGCCAAACATTTTTATATCAAAATGTCATTGGAATTATTATTTTTAACTTTATGGACTTGTGTTTCACTCCTCGAACCATTTCCCGTTCCTTACGTCTACCATTTTCCAAAATATATCTGGCGATGTATACTATGGGCAGCATCGCTTGGTTTTCTCATATGGGAAATTACCCACGAATTATTTGAAATTCACTATGCCCGTCAAAGACATCTTTTTCTGCTATTTTTAGTTCCAATTGATGACTTTAATCAAATTGATCGATATTTTGTTAGTTTTTTGTGTAGTACTTATTTTTTATTCACCGCTATTTTAACCATCAACATTTTTATTGGTCTGATTAGTAATGCATTACAAACCGATGGATTTTCAACTGTTGAAGCACGTTTTGTTATTGAACGTGTTGAAGTTATTTTGAATTATGAATGGCGTCTATCGAAACGAAAACGTTTACAACGTTTACAAATTCAAGAAATGTTACATCGACAATGTGCACCATTACAAGTAAATTGGAAAGATATAAATTTTGATGCCCACGGTCAATCTAGAAAATAACAAGAACTAAAAGCGTTTCAAAATTTTAAAGAAGTAGTTGATAAACGAAATCAACAATTTGACACATTGTGAATACAAATACAACAAAAACTAACGGAAATTGATACCTGACTAGGAAAATTAGTTCATGGACAGCCAGCAACACGAACAACGGACACTGTTTTACATCAACCATCTTCATCTACAAAACAAGCAGTGAGTAAACGTCCATCGATAGCACACTCAGTCATTTCTTCCGCTCATTCACAAGAGCAATTAGCTCCAACATCAGTCATATCGCTCATCTATGAAATACCATCAACGCCTCATATTCCACAACAGTCAAATCAAGTTTTACTTGAAGAAATTCAAAAACTACGTGAATTAGTCGAAAAATCATTGCAAGAAAAACGTTTGTCAACAGCTTCGTCAACATTAGAAGCGCCAACAGTCGGTATCATGAGAAAATCCACTCAGCCGTCAAAACAATCTCAAAGTCAGCCACCGCTACAATCATCATTCGTGATTTAATCTTTATTATCTGATTTAAATGAAAGAGTGACCGATTTACAGTTAGCTGTGAATCATTTACATCAGGATATAGGCGCCATTCGTCACGTGCTCGAGAGAATGTCACTACTATCAACTAGTCTTATTTTAGGAAAAACCGCTAGTATACAGTCTTAGCTAGTACTTATAAGACTTCCTAATTTTTTGTCACTTTCGTACGGACTTCTTATCACTTGTCGGATAGTTAGTTGAATCTTATTCGAACGTTAGCTGTTTCTTATAAGAGTGGAACATCATTTAATTTTTCGACTTTATTTATCTTTCTTTTAACCTTTAAACTCAGTCAATAGAGTTAATATGAAAAATGTGCTCTAGAAGCTACCAGAGCGTGGTTTCAGTAAATGAAATTGAAAGAGACACATTGAAGAGACTTTTTTTAATGTACAGTTCTGAGAGAAAGAAGATACGATAAACGGGATCTCATCTTTTAAAATTTGGGCATCTGGTTGTGTCTGTGTTTTCTTCTGCGTGGGGATTTGAGATATGAACAGTATTAAAGCTTGGTACCAAAATTGAATGAATGACGACCTGGTATTCGTTTTGATTTCCATGGCTGCAGTGAAGGTTCGGCTGTACTGACATCGTCTTTTTTTAGGTCGAAAACACAATACCTCTATCATTAGCTCGTTCTTTTGAATTGTAAGGCATGGCCAGTCTATTGTTCAAGACAAGTCATAAAGCTGTTTCAATTTTCATATGATATTTTAATAATATCTAGCAGAAATTCCAATAACAACTACTCAGCATCAATATAGCCACAGTAATCCGGCAAATATTAAAGCTTTTGTTCAAACAGCTGACGATTGCAACATGTGGCAACAGTAGATGTATATATAAATATTTTTTTCACACATTTCAAGTTGTCCTAAAACTAATAGACACTGGTCTGATGTAATAAATCTTGATTAGAATTTAAAACATTGATCAGATTAACGTTTGATCAATATTTTAAATTCTAATCAAGATTCTTTCATTTGCCATGTAAAGTTGAATTTCAGAAAGTGTAGTTCAGCCTAGACAAAAATCGATCGAGGAGTGTTTCAAGTTTATCTTAACTTCTTTCACTATGCAGTTGTCGATCTTCGATTTGATTTGCGTTTATTTATGAAATACACACCTGTCTGGTCACTTCACATTGACGACTCAGTTGAAAATTCAAAAGGCGATGATTCAGATAAGAGTAGCTTATCACCATTGACAAGTGATGAAGTAAGCGATTTTGCCATTAGTCGACTGCTGAATGCGTGTTCTTACTTTGTGTACTGTTCAAGTTTATCCAAGAGTAACGCTTTTACTATATAGTTTTTATCATATTGTAACGGGTGGGCCATAAAGAATGACGCTCCCAGTATTTTGCTTATAACTTGGTTTGGATTTGTTTCCGAGAATCGATATTTTGTTTAAAAGATACGCTGCGAAATTCTCTACAACATCATACCTAGATTATAATTTCAGAACTTCAATCAAGAAAATTTCGCCAGTTAAATGAAAGTCGAAAAAAATGTAAACTTCCTAAACTCAAAAGACAACCGTTCACTTTTTAGCCCTAACTCTGTTCTCTAAAAAAAACCTTCTCCGTATTATTGAACACAGAAAAAAATAAAATATTTTATAATTCGCCATTGTCATGTCCATAACGACGAATATAAATAACTAAATCTTTTTATTGTAGTCACTCGTACCACGTTTAGAAAAATATTCAAAAACAATATATATAAAGCAGTATATATAAGTAAAAAGGCTATGTTTCATATGCAGAAGTTGAACATCATATAAAAAAATAGCAAAAAAAAGAAATCATCACATTTGTTTGATTAACTGACGAACAGAATTTGGCAGCATGGTTAACGCACCGGGTTTTGGTCGTTGTGTAATTCGAAATTCAAACCCATTATTTTTTCCTTCTAATATATGTCGTTCATGTTGCCAACTAAATAAACCACCATCAGTCGTTTCCATAAATGGATTTAATTCAATCACCCATATATCATATGCATCCTCGATAGGACCTAAAATAAGAACCAAAAAATAGTCATTTCCACATGGATAACGTTATCACATCATTTAGAAAATTTAATAGACCAATAAATTAGTTTTTTTATCACGGATAGATAGCCGAAAATGTCCTCTACAAAACGGGATCTAAGCGAGAGCTCCATCTACCATGGTTCGATTGAGAGAGCGATTTTCCTCAGATCTACAGAACTCACTCTTAATCGATCCGGATACTTCGGAACATTAAGATAAATTCTATTTTATCTGTTCAATTAATTCTGTATTAAAAACTAGTAAAAATCATTTCTCACTTGACAGATGATTTTTAGAAAATCTTTTTAAACTTCCCACTGGTTATCAAAACTTTTATTAAATTTTAAGGTGTTGCGTAAAGAGCTTACCTGCATGTTCTGAAGTAGTCTGAATCGATTTTGAGTGAATCCTGTAGATCTCAGGAAAAGCGTTTCCACAGTCGAACCATGGTAGATGAAGCTCTCACTTAGATCTCATTTTGTAGAAGACATTTTAGGTTATCTATCTGTCAAAAAAATCTAATATATTGCTATGTTAAATTTTCGGGTTATGAAATAGTTCTCTAGAGATCCCGAGAAAACTCAGTTTTTGAAAAATAGTTTCAAAAATGTTTTGGTGGTGAAAGCTCTGACGTGCTGGCTATCGAATGGTGAAAACCGCCAGTCATTCCCGCTTTTTGTTCTTGAGTTATTCGAAAAACAGCCAAATTATCTGCCTTATTATAATTTGAAATGATTAGTAGTCTTTAACCCAGAGTTGGACGAGTCCGACCATTTCCAAGTCCAACTTCATAGTGGTTTCTGCACTATGCAGTAGGTCATAATCACATACGATGGATAAATATATTTTATCCATATATTAGATACATGTTTGACAAAAAAAGATTAATAAATTAGATATCAAATTCTACCCATCCCGTTGTTGAATGTCATAGATTTTAACTGCTTGGACTTCAAACGGACTTGATTTTTAATAAACCTTTTTCAAGTCTAAAAAGTGTATGACAAAAGTTTAAACCATTTTCGTTTCTCGCTCTGGCCAGCCATCTCTGCTACCGGAGTGAAATTCCGTAACGATTTTTTTGCATTTTGTTTTTCTTATAATGTTTGAGTAACGAGACGCCTAGAGATCTAGAATATCACAAATTAAAGAGAAAAGTGTGCTAAAGATTCT